AACCCGGGGACTGCCTGTATATTGATTGCATTAATTTTATATGGATCTAATTTTTATCAGAATGTCATGCAGAACAAAGTCAAATACCTTATAAATATCTAAATATATTATGTCAATGGAGTTACTCTGTTTTCCAAAAAATCATGTTGATTGGCTTTAATTATGATCCCATTTTTTAAATTCTTTACTGACTACATCCCCTATCCACTGTTCCATGATTTTGCCTGAGACTGATGCCTTGAGTTTCCAGGTTGTCCCATTTAGTCTTTTAAAATATTTGCATAACATTAGCATTGTCCAGTCTTCCAGACATTCACTAATGTTTTGAGATTCTTAAAAATCATCATTGTCACCTAGGCCAATTCCATTAAAACTCTTGAGTTTAACTTCAGTAGATGCTGTTGACCATCATCCGTAGTTGCTGACGGAATATAAAGCATATCATTATTACTCTGAAATAGGATTACATCCTCCGCCTTCTTTTGTAACGCAGAACAGAAATATTTGTTGAGTTTTTCTGCACAGATAATGTTTCCATCCTGGTAGATTGGAACAAAAATCAGAACTACAATATTGCTAGTACTTTATTTGTTCCTGATATATTTAACCAATTCCTTATTGTGCTTCTTCCATCTGACTTAGGATTCTAGGCTCTTTTCCAGCCATTACCTGAGGATATAGCCACTTTCAATCAGTCTTAGTGCCTGATTTTCCCATTCCTATGATGCTCCAAAGGAAGGACACTCATGTCTGAGTTCTTAAGGTTGAACACTGGCAAATCAATGAGTAAATTTGCTTCATGAAAAGAAACTTGCAAACAGCCAGAAGCTAACTGGCAATTTCTGCTTACAACCAGGGTCATATCCTGCAGTTTTATGTCAGATAAAATTGCCATGGGCTCAACAGGGTTTGGTTTTCAGTGCACAAAGTGCACAGGTCTGGCATTACAAAGCCCCGTCTGTTCCATATCATCCTGTCCAAGAAGTTAGAACACTGATGATAAACTCTTAACTGAAGCGATACAAAGAGCCAGATATTGGCAGTGCCTGCCTTTTGCATTCTATATCCAATTAATGGGCAAACGTGTGTCAGTGCTTTGGAGAAATGAAGCACTGGAGAATCACTTATTTTATTCTTCTTACCAGAAAAACCAGTCTAAGTTTAGCCATTTTGCATTTCAGCCATTTTCCCAATGCACTTCTAGCAGGTCCCAATATAGGTAACTCTGGGCTCAGCAAATTAATCGGATAAAACAAATCTTAAATTCTTTATAGGGCTTTTGTTTTTTATGAGACTAAAGATTTAAAATTTACAACAAGGTGCCTCTGACTTCTAGCTTCATCTTTCGCCTCTCTAATACCCCCTGATGTGAATAGGAGTCACACATTCAGCAATTTTTGCCTCTCTCGAGAACACAAAGTATCCAGGGCAAGCTGCAGAAATGATCATGTTTGGTGAAAGAGACCCCAGAATCTATTATTTTTCAAGTTCTTTTGTTTGAATCCTGCCTCTGACTTGTATTATGCTTCCATTGAAGAACAAGTGCCCCCTCTGGTGGCCTTGTGAAATATAGCAACATGTCAGGTGCTAGCATAGAAAACACAGAGAGCTCCTGTCTTTGGCTTTGATACCCACTGTGCAGTGCTGTGAAACCTGGAAAATTGGCTAATTTGCTGCTTTCCCATAGCACTCAAGGTGCTAATGGAAGAGCATGACATAGATCTTAGGGAGGGAGGAAGGCTGCACTTTCTGTGCCATGAGCAAAGTAGGGAGTTACAGAAAGGGGGGGGAGGTAAGTTGGATATTAGGAAAAATTATTTCACCGGGGGGTGGTGAAGCACTGGAATGGGTTACCTAGAGAGGTGGTAGAATATCCATCCCTAGAGGTTTTTTAAGTCCCAGCTTAACAAAGTCCTGGATGTGATGATTTAGTTGGGATTGGTCCTGTTTTTAGCAGGGGGTTGGACTCGATGACCTTCAGAGGTCTCTTCCAACCCTATGATTCTAAGTTTTGTACACAAAGCAAAACAGGCAAAATGTGGCTTTGTGCTGGTAAGTGGTTCCTTTAAGCTAGTCTGGTGTGGTGAGTTCTCAAATGTAGCAAATGAACCTCAAAAGGTTTAGGTTAGAGAAATATTCGAAAGCTAAGAGGATAATGGAGATGCAGCTTATTGCTATTGGCAAAATAACACTTTTGCCAGAGAAAATTAGGTGCCCCGTAGGAGCATTTTTCAGAATAGTTATACTGATACATTTATATTGGCAAAACCCTTTCTAGTATAAACAAACCTTTAGACATGGGCTATACCCCCTTTATGTTAAAATCTTGTAGAAATCCATATAGCTCTCTAGAAATGCATCTCTTAGTCATAGCAGCAATATCTATAGAGCATAAATCTTAATCTAGGATCAAGGTTTAAAGTTAAATGTCTGCTTCAATTCTTTGCTGAATCAGGGTCAATAAGCAGACCAGGCACCCTGCCAAAATGATTTGCTGTCCCAATTGGACAGATAATGCAGGGAATAACGGCAACCAAAAAGGCAGGGAATTTGGGGTATGTGCAGATAGACACGCGTTATGAATGAGGAGGATTTCTTCTTTCAAGGAAAGAGGGTTGTAAGTGTAGCTTTGCTTTGTACCATTCTTAGTTACTTGCTTGTTTCTGTTTGCTGAGTGTATTTAGCCAACAAGGATCCGTGTCAAGAGTTTGAGTTAGACTCCTCTCTAATATGTCACCCAATTTGTTACACTGTCTTACCTTGCAAAGAGTGTGGTCACAAGAATTTTGCTTGTACAATTGTCTCTGTACCCAGTGCCTGGTCTGCTTATTGACCCAGCAAGCGACTTGGGGAAACCTATATTTGTACTCAGTGAATATATACCGAGCATTTATGGCCCTTTAATTTACTGTCATCACCCCAGTCATTGACCTGAAGAAATTGCACGGGTGTGCTTCATCCTAGTTGCAAATGATTTGGTTAGATACTTGACTGATTCATTTAATTGCAGCTGGATGGAGGCTCTGCTGAGAGGTCAGAGGACTCTGCAATGTTAGAGTTCCCATGGTAGTCAATGGAACAGGTGGATCTGGAGCTTTTGTTCTCCCTGTATCAAACCCCAGGGAGACACAAACACATCCCCAGCAAAGTAGCTTACATATTCAAGTTTGTAGCCACAGACTGTTGTGTTGCCATTATTTAACCAGTTCATTTCTATCAAGCATATGTGCGGGTGAGTCTACACTGCACCGTTATTTTGAGATAGCTAGCATTATTTCAGAATACCGTTAGTTATTTTGAAATAGTGTTGCAGTGTAGACGTACCCTAAGGTATGCATAACCAGCGTTATTTTGAAATAACTCAGTCCATGTCTACACAGCAGGCAGTTATTTCGAAATAATGTCAAAATACTGTCAAGCTGGAGGACTTCTTACTCTGACTCCTGTATGAGGAGCAAGAAAAGTTGTAGGAAGAGTGCTCTATTTCAAAATAAGTGCTGTGTAGACACTCCCAGTTTCGAAATAAGTTGTTTTGAAATAAGCTATGCAATTGATGTACCTCCATTTGTGTAGTTTATTTCAAGTTAAGCCCTGCTGGGTAAATGCACCATAAGGTATTAGGTTCAGTCCCTCATGAACTACTGAACTGAGTAAATAATGCAAAAAAGCAAAACCAAAACTCTCCAAATCATTCCGTGAATACTGGTTTAAATGCATAAACAAGGTTGCTTGGCATGTATTCATACCCACCCTGTAAAATAGGGAGATCTACCTTCTCTATATCGTTCAGTATTTTATATACTCATATACCCCATCCACAAAATCTTGTATATAACGTGTCTTAGCCCAAGAATTAATTCTGGGTTAAAGCTTAGTTAGTGTCTCATTACAAGGGATGTTTGTGTAAGTTTGGATTCAGTAAACCCTGTTTGGACAAACCACTTAAAACTCAAACTCTTCTAAGGCTGGAAAAGGTCTGTTTAGCTTTCTTTGTCCATTGTTTGTCATTGTTGCATGTTAAGATGCTCACTGGGATCCAAGGAACAAAGCTCTGCAGGAGAGGTTGAAAAGTGGAATTTCCACACAGGAAATTCTAGAAAGCCCATACAAAATCCAGTCATTGTTGTGAGCCTTCCAGCTTAAATTTTCAGGTCCTGCTGATTCAATTTTGTTGTAACTTCACCCATTCATCATCATCATCACATGGAATTCAGAAGTTATTGATTCAAGTCCCATGCAAACATCCGTACCAACTATAATTCTAAGAGACAATGTTTAGTTAAACCAACAATACAGAATCACTTAACAGAGGAGCAGGTAGTTTGACAAGACAAGATTTTTTGAAATACGAGGAGAAGAGAGGTCTATTTTTTTTTTTTTTTTTTTTTTTGTCAAAGCCCTTGTATTTGTCTAAAAACCACAGATTGGGGTTGAAACATTTCCCAAATCTGTGTTGAATTTGCCAAATTGTTTTGATTGCAAGCCAAGCAAAACAAAAATTCTGAAAAAATGCAGCAGTTTATTTTGACATTTCCCTTTAATATTATGTATTTTAAAAAAAATTAAAGATAAAAAATGCTCAAAATATAAATGTAACATTTCATTTGACCCCAATACATTTTTCCTGACTTTTGGATTAGCTAAAAAATTCAAAAAATTTCAAACTGTGTGTATATGTATATTCATTTTTGTACATTTGATTATTTTACAGAATTAGGAGCTAAAAAACTCATAACTAAACTAAAAAAATCTCTTATTTACTCCAAGCTCTATGAAAATCAATAATAGCACCTATTTAGGTACTTCAATAAATTGCGTGAATTTTCAGAAGTGCTCTTGACAACATAGGAGCTGACAGGTCCTGCATGCTTTGGAGAATGCAGTAGCTTCATTCAGTAGAATTCTGGGAAAACTGAAATGACAAAGACATTCACACTAGGCTTCTGTTGTGTTTTGGATTAAAAAATTTACCAATCCATCATTCTTTGTCTTCTATGCAGCTTTCCAGCCTCTTCACTTCACTGCTTGATTTGCAGACAGGTAAGTGGTTCTGGTTTCTTTCATACATTGATCTATATATACTATATTGAGATTGAGAACCTGATTCAGGAAGGTAGTTAGCACATGCCTGAATTCATGCCCTACCCACTTCAGTGGGACTACTCATGTGGGTCTATATTAGGTCAGCAGTACACAACGCAAGTGTGATTTCTATTGTGAGCGTTCTGTGAACACAATTTAATTGTCATTGTATGTGAACATTTGACTCATCATTTGGCTTCTGTGAGCATTGGTCCATATAACTGTATGCATCTCAGAGATTTGACTACAGGGTAGGTTTCATTACATCAAGTCTTGTCCTGATTTACACCCTGTACCATAGGGATTGTATAAAACAGATTGTAGCCTAAATGATCAACCTCACATTTTCCACCACTAAGTTCTATGTATCATGAGAACAGGGTCCTGCCATAAAAGGTTTGGTACAAATTTAAAGTTTTAATGTATAGAATAAAAAGTCACACATCATAAAGTTCTACGCATACACCTCACACCTCCCTCTAATCATAACAATCCCTTTCATTTAATGACATCACTCCTTGAAAAAATCACTCCTAACCCCCACATAGCCTGAGAACTACTTATGAATATCATGTGAGCTACCAAACACTTCCACTGCAGAAAGGCTAGCAAATTATTTTAAAACTAATTCCAAAATATTTAACATGCTCTAGGATCAGTCTTGGAAGCAATCCTATTCAATATTTTTATTAATGAGCTTGCACAGAAGGAAGTTATGTGTTAATGAAATCTGGGTGAACCTTGGAGTCACAGAAATGGGATGGAATTCAATAGTATAAAGTACAAGGTCATGGACATACGGTCTAATAAGAATTTCTGCTACCAGCTGGGGGCTCCTCAATTGAAAACAGCTCAGGAGGAGTGAGACCCGAGCATGTGGGCTGATCACAGTGTAACTATGAGCCACCAATGCGATGCAACTGTGCAAAATATTTTAAATAAATAATTAAATCATAAATAAGAAAACGTGATGCTTGGCTGGATTAGACGAGGCGTTTGCAGGAGAGACAGAGGAGCATGACCAGGCCTGTACACAGGGGAGGGGTGTGCGAAGGGTGTGAACGCACCCCCCCATGGTCTCCTAAGTAAACGTGAGAGGGGAGTCTGATGAACCAGCCGAGCTAGAAGGCAGGGGCATTGACAGGGTTAGATGCTGCTCATGGAAAATAGGTGCTTGGGGGTTATTATGGCTACAGAAGCGCCCCTGGTTCCAGCGCCTGGGAAATGGTGCATGCAAACTGTCGGAGCGGTGCCTGCCAGCAGCTCTTCGCTCACACTGGGAGGTCTCTGCTCGGCATGTGGCCCAGGGCACTGGGGGATGAGGGAACGAAGAGAGGCTGAAGGAAGAGGTCAGAGGAGATGTGGGCGTCAGTGCCTGGCACCCCAGCATGCAGGATGCAGTGGGGCTGGGGGGC